AAAACAATGAAACATTTGTTCTACCAAGTAGACGGAGGGCAGGTAGTAAAGAAGCAATGGAAATGCTGAGCCAGTGTCTGGCTCATGGTATTTGTGTAATAAATTTTTTGATGAATAATTATAATGATAAACATATAAAAATAGGCAAGATATTCCAAGAAAAAGCAATCAAAACAAAAATGCAAAGACATAAAGCAACTTGCTGGTTTAGCAACTCCATGTAACTGGAGCAAATTTTTATTTCTGAGGGGTGTAGAATGTGTTTAGGAGTAGTAAGACATGAGAAGTAAATACAATAATGATATTATTAAGGTACATGTTAAGGGATTTGGACTTTATCCTTAAGCAATAGGAACCATTTAAGGCTATGAATGTTCTATAATCAGATTTTTTAAGGAGATTATTCTGGCTACAGCTTGGAAAAGTGAGAGAAAAGAATGGTGAACAAGAGATCAGTTTAGAGATATTGCCAGGGTAAATTGAGGAATAATAATGAAGGCCCAAAATAAGGTAACAACGTTGGTAAGGTAGAGGCAAAGATTGGATAAGCCAAAGTCTGATTAGAATTATGAGGATTTAGTATCCAATTACAGACAAAGAGGTAAGGTAAGATAGCTCATTTCTTTCTCAAGGTGTGTTATATTACTAAAATATTCCCCTAAAAAAGTTAGTAAATAACAATGTCCAAAAATGGCAAAATTGTTTTCCCCTTATTTTAACCAGAAAATGTATAATTTAACATGTAAAGAAAATATACAGATAATTTTTTCTTTATTTTTTTTCTTTATTTTCTTTATTTTAGAGGATGGAATTTTTGTTTCATTAGATACATTTTCTAGAATAAATTATTATTTATATTTTTTTCATTATGTCACTCATGAACATGAATTATATTAAGGGATATCTGTAAAATGTGTCTCTCTTTTAATCCTAGAATATGTGTCAATTATTCTCACATCAGAGCACCACCACCCTGCCTCTGCACAGCTGATCCTCCATGGAGGAGAGCGGTTGGTGGTGAGTGGTCACAGCAAGTCCTTGCAGCTGACTGGCCTGGGTAATCCATCCCATTGACCTGCCAACAACAATTAACATTTAAGTACAAGAGGAGGATATACTCAGTCCACATGAAGAGCACACTTCAAGTACCCAGCTTGCGTGATAGTGGAGGCTGGGCTACTGGACACTATAGAGCACCTATTATATTAGGCCATGCTACCAAGACAAGGAGTCATAGCAACTCTGCCAAATACATAGAAATGAACACAGGGAAGCTTCCAAAATGAGGAGACAAAGAAACATGGCCCAAATGAAAGAACAGATCAAAACTCCAGAAAAAGAACTAAACAAAATGGAGAAAAGCAATCTATCAGATGCAGAGTTCAAAACACTAGTTATAAGGATGCTGAAGGAACTTGATGTTGGGGACCACTTTGTGTGGTATCGGGAATTCTAGCCCTGTGCAAGCTAGGCCTTGAAAGTGGCCTGTAAGTCTCGACCAGACAGACATAGCACCAAGAGTTCCAGTAGGAAATCTGGCCTAAGTAATACATTATATTTACTGAAGTTTGCTCTGTTTTGCACTGCCCTGATAAGGAAAAATCGGGTGTTAAGTCTTAGAGCAGGAGAAAAGATTCCTGAGCCCCTGAACCTTGACGTAATGATCATTTGAAGTAAGTATGTCTAACAGTCCCTAACCCAAGGCTGATCTATGTATTTCTCTAATTGGTATCTATAGCTCTCTGACATGAATTGATATGTTTTGCATGTATGCTATATACCCTGACACATATCACTCTCAATAAAAGATATTTCAGAGAAGGGCTCAGGGCATTCTTCACTAGAAGGAATTTTTACCCCCTTTTCCTGGCAGACCAAGAGTGTCTAGAACGACTTATTTCTTCATCCACGGTGACTGGGGGGACTCTGCAGGACAGGGTACCCACCTCAAATGAGGACCTAAACAGCATAAAAAAAGATCTAATCAGAAATGAAGGATACACTAATTGAAATAAAGAATAATTTACAAGGAAAAAACAGTACAATGGATGAAACTAAGAATCAAATTAATGATTTGAAACATAAGGAAGCAAAAAACAACCAATCAGAACAACAAACAGAAAAAATAATTTTAAAAAATGCAGATAGTGTAAGCAGCCTCTGGGACAACTTCAAATGTTCCAGCATTTGCTTCATAAGGGTGCCAGGAGGAGGAGAGAAAAAGCAAGAAGTTAGAAATATATTTGAAAAAAATAGTGAAAGAAAACTCCCTTATTTGGTGAAGGAAATAGGCATGCAAGTCCAGGAAGCACAGGAAGTCCCAAACAAGAAGATTACAAAGAATCCTACTCCAAGTCGCATCCTGATGAAAATGCCAAAGATTAACTATAAAGAAATAATCTTAAAAGCTGCAAGAGAAAAGAAGTTAGTTATCTACAGGGAAGTTCCCATAAGACTCTCAGCTTATTTCTTCAAAGAAAATTTGCAGGCTAAAAAGGACTGGCAAGAAATATTCAAAGTCATGAAAAGCAGGGGCCTACAGCCAAGATTGCTCTAACCAGAAAAGCTATCATTTAGAATCAAAAGGCTGATAAAGTGGTTCCCAAAAAAGAAAAAAACCTAAAGGAGTTTATTATCACCAAACCATTATTATATGAAATGTTAACAGACTTTTTTTTTAAAAAAGATGAAAACTCTGAACAATAAATGGAAAAAAAATACATATCTATCAACAATTGAATCTAAATACAGGGATTTTTTTCAAAAAACAAATTAAGCAAACAAGAAGAACACAAACAGAATCATGGATAGGGAGAACATTTTGATAGTTGCCAGATGAGAGGGTATGTGGGAAAATGGATGAAGATGTGAGGGGATTAAGAAGCACAAATAGGTAGTTACAGAATAGCCATGGAGTTATAAAGAGCAGTAGAGGAAATGGAGTAGCCAAAGAACTTATACGCATGACCCATGGACATAAACAAAAGTGTTGTAATTGCCTAAGAGAGCAGGGGGTGCTGAGTGGAAGGGGGCAAGGGGGAAAAAACATCAGGACAACTGTAATAGCATAATCAATGAAATATAATTTTTAAAAAAGACTTCAAATTACTTAAAGAATGTTCTATTGTCATTTTAAAAATAAATCTAATCTAGTATTACATATGATAATTATTTTCTTTTCTTTTTTATTTTATTTTCCACAGTTTGGTTTATTCTGTTAGTTTATTAAAGAATTAGTTACTGGGTTACTTTTACTTTTTTCCATTCACATTCATTCACTTCTTTTATTTTAACTATTTACAATTACTTTACATAGTATTGTACTCTTTTATAATATTCTAAATTGAATGCTTAATTTCTTAACTTTCACTCTTCTGTTTTTCATAAAAATACTACCCAAATTTACCAAATGTTATTTTTACTGAAAGGTAGAGTGTTTAATACAATTCACATGCAATTACATTTGTCTCATCATAAAAGCTGGGCGGACAGTGTGTGTTATTGAAATAAATATAGACATGCATAGCTAGACCTATTGTATCACAGATATTTTTAACCAATATTCTTTGGACACATTTATTTTATTTTATTGTAATAAGAACACTTAACATGAAAGTTATTCTCTTAACAAAATTTTAAGTGCATACTACTTTATCATTGAATATAGGTACAATGTTACATAGCAGATCTCTACACCTTATTCACGTTGCTTAACTAAAACTTTATGCCCATTGGTTGGTAACTCCTCATTTCTCTCTTCCCCAGACACTGATAAGCATCATTCCACTCTTTAATTCTATTAATTTGATTATTTTTTCTAGCTCATGTAAGTGGAATCATGCAGTATTTATCTTTCTGTGACTGGCTTATTTAACTTAGCATGATATCCTCAATTTCATCCATGGTGTCGCATGTTGCAGAATTTTCTTTTTAAATGCTAGACTAGTATTCCATTGTATGTGTATACTATATTTTACTTATCTGTTAATTAGTTGATAAACATTTAGATTTTTACACATTTTGAATTTTGTGATTAGCGCTGTATTGAATATGGAAGTTCTGATAGTTTTTGAGATCCTATTTCATTTATTTTCTCTATATACTCAAAAGTGAGATTGATGCATTATATGGTTATGACACCAAAAGCACAGGCAACAAAAATGAGATTAAACAAGTGGGACTGTATCAAACTACAGAGTTTATGCACAACAAAGAAAACCATCAATGTAGAATAAAGGCAATGTATGAAATGAAAGAAAATATTTGCCAAACATATATCTTTTAAGGGGGTAATCTAAAAAGTATATAAGAAACTTTTTACTATTCAATAACAAAAGAACAAATAACCTGATTTTAAAATGGGTTAAGGAGTTGAAAAGCCATTTTTTCCAGAGAAGATGTAGCAATGACCAACAATAGATGGAAAATATTCAATGTCTCTAATTATCAAAAAATACATATTGAAACCACAGAAATTATCAGTTCACAGTGGTCAAGATGATGATTTAACAAAAAGAATGAAAGGCAACAAGTGTTGGCAGGGATGTGGAGGGATCTGGACCCTACACACTGTTGGTAGGAAGGTAAAATAGTGTATCTGCCAAATACTAAGGAAAAGAATCTTTCACCCATTGTGGCACTATTTCCATGATAATACGTAGTTTTCTTTGTGATGATTTGCTTTAAACAATGATAATAAAAACACAACGTGACAAGTTTGGGGACTGATTATGAGGATGTACATTTTGAATTAAAATAAAAAGAAAAATTGAGCAAATGTTTTTTGCTAAATTATGACTCAGTTTACCTTGCCAAAACACACTGACTGGAATGTTAGCTAGTTCCAGGATATCAATAAACACCATGTGGTAGAAATCCTAACAGTAGATTAGTGCCAAAAGGAAATTTTTAAAGTCTTATTAAAATAGGTTTGGAAAACTCAAACTTGTCAAATAACAATAAATATTCTCTGCATCTTGACCTTTCACTGTGATTCCTGCTTAAATCTTGGTTCCCAGTAGCATTTTGGAAAGACTTTGACGAATCTCTTTGGTTTTGATGGAATAGATAACAGGGTTGAGCATTGGAGGAACAAAGAGATAAATGAGGGACATGAGTGTGTGCACATACTGTGGAGCATGCCTCCCATAGCGAGCCATCATGGACACACCAACCATGGGAACATAGAAGATGAGCACAGCACACATGTGTGATACACATGTGTTGAGTGTCTTTAATCGTTCCTCCCAAGAGGCAATGGCAAGTACAGAGCGTAGTATGAACACATAGGAGAGAAGAATGAGTACAGAGTCCAGGCTAAAGGTAGAGATGACAATGAATAGACCAAAAATATTATTGATGGTGATGTCGCCACAGGGCAGGCGGATCAGATCTGGATGCAGACAGTAGGCATGGGAGAGTACATTGTTCTTGCAGAAAGGCAACCTCTTCAGAAGGAAAGGTAGTGGGAAAACCATGCAGAAACTGCGAATGACAACAGACATGCCCATGCGTGCCACACGAGCATCAGTGAGCACTGTGGCATAGCGCAGTGGGTTACAGATGGCCACATAGCGGTCAAAACTCATAACCAGAAGAATCCCAGACTCTGTGAAGGAGAAGAGGTGGATAAAGAACATTTGAGTCATGCAAGAATCAAAGCTGATCTTCCGTAAGTGAAAACAAAACGTGGCTAGCACCGTGGGCAGAGTGGAAAAAGACACACCTAAGTCATTAACTGATAGCAGGGACAAGAAGTAGTACATAGGCTGATGCAAGCTCTGCTTCTCCTTGATAATAAAAAGGATGAGGGCATTGCCCACAATGGAGACAATGTAGAGAGTTCCAAGGAGCAGAAACATCCAGTGTTGTGAGATCTCCAGCCCTGGCAGACCTGTCAGGATGAAAGAAGGCAACTTTGAACTGTTGTCAGGGTTACTTCCCATGCTGGAACAATTTCTTAAATTCTCTGATCACTATTCTGTAAAGAAAACAAACATACAATTTTATCTGTGGTCTAGGACTAATATTTTAAGACTCCGATATACCATCCAGCCCCTCACTTTATGGCATTAATCAGTTTTGTTCACCAAAACACATTCTCATTTCTCATTGTCACCAACATTTCTGAAATTGCCTGAGTTTTCTCAACTTATCTAGCTGGCTATAGAGACTATATTGCCTTTCTTTACATCTCTGCCTATTGCCACTTTGCTCTTTCTCACATTTAAAGCTATGAAGTCTTTATCAATCTGTGGGCAAAATTTTGTTTAAAATTTATGGCAAAACCATTCTGCCCTCTTTCTGGGCATTTGACTTATTCATTGAACTATAAAGTTTCTTTCCACTTTCTTATGCTACTGAACATTTACTACTTTATTATGACTCCCTAGCTTTTCTATTCCTTTGCAGTCTCTCAGTTCTCCCAGATATTTGTCCAGACGTAAGATGGATGGAGAGAAAGCTAACCATACACAGAGATAATTGTCCAGAAGTTCATCAAATGCATTTGGCTCTCATATTTCCACTCATCTTTTTATTCTTATATCCATTTATCTTATGACATTACTTTTCTTCCTGAATAACTTAATTTGTAGAAAATCTGTTTAAATAATTTATTTTAGAATTGAATAATCATTTAATAATAAGTAATAATAAAGTATTATTAATAATTACTTAGTAATTAAAGTCATTTTCCTATACCACGGAATTGCTTCTCATCTGTGTTCTTCATCTCTTTAATAAAAACATCATTGTATCTAAGATTGAGACTCAAAATCCCAACATCACTGACTCTCTTCCCATTACATTCTACAGTAAACTCAGTAACAACTGATAAAAATACTAACCCCAAAGCACCTCTGTCAGCATTTTTCTTCATTTTCTTTGACTTTCATACTTCATACTTCAGATCCAAGAAATTGCATACTTGTACCATAATAACAGTGTCCTAAATAAATCTCATGCCTCTCTATTTAATTCTCTATTCTGGAGTAAAACTAATATTTTTAAAAGACAAATCTAAAAATAGTGTTGCCTGATTAGAAACCTTGCAAGTTCCCTCATTGCGAAGGGATCAAATCCAAACTCATTAGCCTAGACTTGAAGGCCCTCTGTCAGTACACTCTGTCTGTGTGGTCAGTATTAAATTAATATTTCTGGCCTGAAGTCTTAAAATTTTCTTCCTTATACCACAAGATACCCACATAGGTCTATTTGCTCTTATCCAAACATGAACCACAGTTCCTCAACTCGCAAACATTTCCCAGAATGCGCATACCCATTCAAACTATGTTCCAGGCCCAGGATCAATGATGCCCTCTTTCATGAATACTTGGTTTGTCATTGCCAGCAGAGGTAACTTCTCTCCCATTGTTCTCACAACTATAGGTTTGCATCTCTATCTGTACTTGTTTCTTTCCCTGCCCTGCATTATAGCTGGGTGAGTCCTGTCTTTTCTACTGACTCACCAGGTGCAGGAATTCAACCCCGACTCTCCTTTTTGTTTCAGTCCCAGCCATGGTTAGTTCAGGGTCTTGAACAAGAGGTGTACTAAGTAAGTAACAGATCCCTTCTGGGTTTTGACTTTGTTGTAAATTGAAAATGCTAAGAAACTTAGCTATAGAGGTTGTATAGATCCAAAGGTGGACAGTAGTAGAAACTCTTACATACAAAGACTGTACAACTTGAGTTCTAAAGTCTACCTTATATCTGCCTTTGTTCCTTCATCTGTGCTCCTTCTCTATGCAATTCTTTTGGTCTTTCCATATTCTTAGGACCCCTTTACTTTTCCTACCTGAAAATACCTCCTAAAAGTTTTTGTTTGCCTCTGTGTGCAATATGTAGACACTCTCTATTTGAAGTCTTTTAGCACTAAGTAAGGCCCTGCCACGTGGTTTCCAAAGCATCCAGTGTCTTTTTATATACTCCTCCATACCATATTATTCTGAGAAAAATGTGGGGGTGCTTCTTAACACCAAGGCATCTATATCCAAAGCGTAGCCTAATATGGTGTCTCTGCGGGGAAAGCAATGACTTGACACAGAAAGCATGGCTGGATTTCAGCTAATGAACAACAGATGGAAAATATAAAACTGGGAAGGTGATAAAAGTGAAAGGATGCAGAAAAAACCAAAAAACAAAAACCTGACCAGATTAGGGACAGCATTTCTTCCTTCATACTTCATGCTCTAATACTCAGAATTTTTAAACTAAAGGCAGACTGCCTTAGGCTTAAGTCTAGAGTGTCTGACACCCCAATTTACCTGCTTGTGCCAGCTCCATGCATGGAAAGTGCAAAGAAAGGGAGAGCAGTAGTGGGGGTCCTGCATGCCCTGAGCATAGCCACCAGTTCCCTCTGCCAACTGCGTGGCCTGAGCAATATAAGGCTGCCTCCAGGAAATGAATTTATAATAGCTCAGGAGCTCATGGACTACTGGGAATATGGAGTATCCACAGTGCCGCACACCTCTCTGAATTAGCATTTCATTGCTCATATGCAGAAGCGGAAAAGTTCAGGACTGGCCCTCCAAGAATATTCTATATAGTCCCTCATTTTAGAGAACAGATCATTAGAGCCTAGAAAGAAAAACAGACATCTCAAATTTATACAGCTTGTCCATGGCAGGATATTTAAACCTAGGTCTTCTAACTTAGCTTATGGCTTTTTTTACCATACAACTATATGGTATGATAGATAGTTGTATTTATCATACAACTATGATAGATATCCACAAGAATCCTATGAAGAGTGCTTAAGTCATATATAAATTAACTTCAACATCTGAATTTATTAGAACATGTGAAATTCTCACCTGGATCATCCATCAAATTGGCCTCAGTCATGATAAGAAGCATTGTTACGCTGTGGCCGACCATACCCAGAGTATAATTATAAGTCCAATTATAGAAAATACTTGCCTTAGTTAAGAAGTAGTTGAGAGTGCTGCAGTATGCAGAAATGTTTATTGAACATCTGCTAGGGAGATGATGTAAGTAATAAGGATTAGCTGGTAAAGTTTTCAGATATATGGACCTGAGCTTGAGTCTAGAATATGCCACTTGCTTTGAGAAAGTTTCTAACTCACACACTGTTTCATTTTTTCACCTAAAAAATAAGTTATAATCACTCTTACATCCTAGAATGACTGGGACAATTAAACAACATATGACATGCAAAGCATTTAGCCTATTGGCTGCCATTTAGCACTTACTAGATAATAATGATTGTGTTTCAATACCAAACATTGGATCCTGAAGGTAAAACAATTGGGAATGAATGTTGATGTAAGTGTACAACAAAATAAGAATAAATTATCTAATAGTTTTCATTCATTTCTAGGAAAATACTAGCCGATAGAGCTGAAAGGAATAGTGATTAGTAACAGGGGACACATACTTGGACTGGATTATGATAATAAAAGAAGTTAGGTTTAGAAAGAACTTCTCATATCTAATGTTTGTCTGAGACTAACCAGGCTAAAGATGCAGTAGAATTCAGTGCATTACCTAATACACTCCTAGAGCTTCTCACAATCATACTGACTGTCATGGGAAAGGGAGGAAATCACTCATGCCCTGATCAGTACACATGGACTTATTTGAATTTTATGTCTATTATTCCTTTGTCATAAGTTATCTCCTTAAACTTTCCCTTATGAAAAAAATACTCTTTTTATTTATTACAAGGCCACAGTCCGTACCCTAAGGATGCATGATGTAAGGTCTACGTTAACAAAATGATTATAAATTTGAGTCTTTCATTCAAGATTAGATACAATTTTAGTCATAGGAATGAATGTGTAGATGAATAATTTAACCATTAATATTGTGGTTCAGGAGATTCTTAAGGAAACACAGTAGCTCAGCGTACACATTTCACTACGTTCTTCTTAATTTCCTTGGTAATTTCTCCCTGAAGCCCTCATTTTCTTGCTTCCTTCTGCATCAGTTGCTTCCCAGCTCTATTATGCAGTTGGCATCAGGAATTTGTTCTATTGCTCTCTGGGTTGATATCCTGTTTCCTTGATCACTTATTTTTTTCCTTTTTTTTTTTTTTTTTTTTAAATATATCTGTTTGCTGAGAGCCTTTCTCTTTCACACTTTATTTTAGGAACTTTTTTTTTATTAATTGGATACCATTTTTTTTTTATTTAAGTGCAATATATTTTTCTCCTTTGCCAAATGTTTGTAGAAAAATTTTGTTGTGTCATGCACTTTGCGAAGCACCCTAAAGATCTGATACCAATTACACTATGTGTGCTTTAGAAGAATGGTAAGAGGGTTGGGGGATAGTTTCCCCGCACTCCTGGAAACTAGCCGGGTGCCCTACAATTCAAATAAATTCTGATACCACCTACCCAGAGACTGCATTAGATCCCACAGGTTAAAGGCTCAGTCTCACAAGACTACCCTCCTCTGATCAGTGGAGGGGCTATGGTAGGCCATAATACCTGCAGCCAAATCCTGTTGGCAATTAGTTCCTCACAGTGGGATCTGGGTGGATGCTTCTTTCCATCTATTCCCATGTGTGACTGAGACCTGTTGGAAAGATCAAGGCAACATCTTCTCTCCTCTCTTTCCACCTGAGCAGGGCCTACCTCCCTCCATACCATGTTTTCTGGCTCCTGAGGATGGGTCCTAAGGAACCTCTGGCAGGTAAGGAATGTGAGTGCCAAGGATCCCAGTTCTAGTAAACAGTAAACCAGGAATATAATTCATCCTTCTTGACCTTCATGCCCAGGGTTTCTTTTCCCCACTCCAGGACCTGCTCCTTAGGGGACTTTCAAAAGACAAAATGTAAGGTTGACTACAGTTGAAGGTGACAGATATATAATCATCAACAATATGCAGTATTCAACATTCCCTCAGCTTCATTAAAAACTTTGTGGGCATTGTCTCTTTTAAATCTAACAACCAAATTGAAGGGAAATTCTCTCTACCCATA